GATCAGGACAGAGGTGAAAAGCATTCAGAAACGTGTTCATTTCTCTTATTTTTGGGAGGGGAGGAAGGAAAGGAATAAAATGGAGGCAACGCGCCAGCCATATGATTAAGTTACAAGAGGGGGAATGATTTTGAAAGGGTTTTACGCCTCAGAGAAATCGGAGGTGTTGCAAACGTTCAAGGATGGCAGAGTTATCAAAAGCAAGCGGCACATTTAAAACCTGGCAGGTGCAGGAAAAGGGGGGCAATTTGCAACTCGGGAACCACTCTCTGACGTAACCAGGCCATTGAAAGGGGAATAATTCAACGGGTAACTTTGTCGCATTCTAATTTATTAAAAATAAGTAGAGAGCTAAAGGGCCACGTCATTGGTTCCAAGAGAGATAGAGCACATGCCATCCAACACATGGTCTATAAGATACATCCATTCTGCACCATGTGAAATAAAAACAGAACAGGTGTGCTTGTGGTGATGATCAAGCATTTCACAATTAAATCCATGAGTCCTCCCCCAAGGCCGAATTCTTCAAAAGAGAATTCTGGCTGAAAGGGGAAAGGGAGACATCTCTATTTCAGGTGGACCAATATCATGTCCACCTTTATGGATGAACTCCCGACTACAGAATGCACAGCCCAGTGGCTCCCAACCTTGAGTTGCGAGATGTTCGTGGACTGCAACTCCCAGAAATCCTGGCCAGCGCCGTGCATGGCGAAGGCGGCTGGGAGTTTCAGTCCAAGAACCTCTGGGACCCCAAGTTGTTATAAACAGTCTCAAAAGTCCTCTTTACCTTCTGTACTGTCCCATACCGCTGAATGGCGTCAGAAAGTTGATTCTTCAGGCGATCCAGCTGAAGCCGCTCCTGCTACAGAAAAAGAAAATATCATCAAACATAGCCAATCCCATACCGCTGAATGGCGTCAGAAAGTTGATTCTTCAGGCGATCCAGCTGAAGCCGCTCCTGCTACAGAAAAAAAAATATCATCAAACATAGCCAATGCCAAAAAAGAGAGAGGGAAGAAGCCATTTTTACTTCATCCGTGGTAAGAAGAAGAAGAAGAAGAAGAAGCCATTTTTATCTCATCCATGGCCTGGAAGCAAGAAATCTCATGGATGTTTTGAACGCTGAATGGTTTACATCAGTGGTTCCCAAAGTTGGTTTAATCAAAATGTTCTTGGACTGCCATTCCCAGAAGCCTTCACCAAGAGCTGTGCTTGTTGGAGGTTTCTAGGAGTAGCAGTCTGAGAACACCTGGGTTACGCAAGAGTGGGAAGCACAGTTTTACATGGTAACCCGGTGCAATAAGGTAAAGGTTCCCCTTGATATTTAGTCCAGTCGTGTCTGACTCTAGGGTGCGGTGCTCATCCCCATTTCCAAGCCATAGAGCCAGCGTTTGTCTGAAGACAGTTTCCGTGGTCACGTGGCCAGCACGACTAGACACGGAATGTCATGACCTTCCCACCGAGGTGGTACCTATTTATCGACTCACATTTTTACATCCTTTCAAACGGCTAGGTTGGCAGGAGCTGGGACAAGTGACGGGAGCTCACTCCGTCACGTGGATTCGATCTTATGACTGCAGCTCTTCTGACCTTGCAGCACAGAGGCTTCTGCGGTTTAACCCGCAGCGCCACCACATCCCTGCAATGGGTCCTCCTTAACTACAAGGGCAGAAACATTACAGAGTGTTCACGAAACTTTTCCCCACCTCTGGAAATAAGTGCATTTGGGCTAAACCCAATGGTTAGTTTTCATCCGACTGGACCTGCTGAATGCATGGGAACTGGGTAAGTCAAAAGGTTTAGTTATCCAGCTGCTGGGCCAGAGGTTGGGAGTTCAATTCCCCAGAGGTGCCTCCTTGGCAGGGGCTGGACACCATGATCCAGAGGGTCCCTTCCAACTCTGCAGTTCTAACACTACTATTAAAACTCATGTTTGAGGTAAAGCAGGGCAATGCAAGTATTTCATTTCTCTCATTTATTCCAGGCAACACCAAGAACGAATCCAATCCCAAGGGGCAGGTGAGCAGCATTCTCAGCCAAACAAAAAATTCATTCTGTCACCATTCCAAAGGGTAGTTCCAATTTCACAGTAGTTATTCCATGTCACATCTTGTCCATATTAAGGTCTTGAAGAGGTTGCAGGAATATCTTTAAACATGCTTTGCTAGCATTTCCAAATAGACAGGAGGACTGAAATTCCTTCGGGATCCTACAGTCTTTCGTGTTTAAAACTGCATCCGCAGGCACTGCTGGACCACAGTTCACATCATCCTTTACTATTATGAAAGGGCCTTATCCCGCTGGGGATTGCGTAAGGGTCATGAAGTCGGAACCGACTTACAGTGACCCTAATAGGGCTTTTAAGGAGCTATTTAAGGAGTAGTTTCACTGTCCAGACTCCCAGCGAGATTCCATGGCCCAATGGGGATTCAAACGCTGCTCTCTACAGTCCTAGAACAATGTCCCATCCCTTCTGTTCCTTAAAAAGCGAAGGAGAAGGCCTTTCTCTCGGTCCCACGACCTTCACAGGTGAATTTTGGTGGGGACACAGAAGAGGGATTCTCTGTTGCTGCTCCCAGAGTGTGGAACTCCCTCCCACTGGAGGCCACCTTGGCCCCGTCTTTGCTGTCCTTCCGCAAACAGGCAGAGACCTTTCTCTTCAGGCAAGCTTTCTCTTAATGGCTGGTGGTGTCAGCGGGGGTTTAAAAGGGACTGTTGTGCCCTGGTGTTTTGACAGTGTTTTTGTATTGATTTTATTATTGTAATACTTGCCCAATTGTTTGTATATCTACTGTTTTTAGCTTTTAAATATTTCTCTTTAATGATGTAAGTTGCATTGGGCTTTTTTTTAAAAGGAGAAAGACAGGGTAAAATATTGGAAGGAATGGAGGAAAAAGAGAGAGAAGGAAGGAAGGAAGGGAGGGAGGAAGAGCAATACTAAAAAAACGACACTAAAGCAGCAGGAAGAAGCAAAGAAACATTATCTGGTGCTGGAGTAAGATTTTTTAAAAGGATATTTTGCTAATCAAAAGCTCATATTTTGCTCAGAAAATCTACCACCCTACACATTTACCTTGGAATAAGTCTCAATCAATTCAGCTGGACTTACTTTTGAATAGAACTGCACAGTCCAGTTTCATTTTATTTAAAGAGTTTATTATATGTATACAGATCCTGAAGCTGAGGCTCCAGTACTTTGGCCATCTCATGAGAAGAGAAGACTCCCTGGAAAAGACCCTGATGTGGGGAAAGTGTGAGGGCAAGAGGAGAAGGGGAGGACAGAGGACGAGATGGTTGGACAGTGTCATCGAAGCGACCAACATGAATCTGACACAACTCCGGGAGGCAGTGGAAGACAGGAGGGCCTGGCGTGCTCTGGTCCATGGGGTCACGAAGAGTCCAACACAGCTAAACGACTAAACGATATATTTATTTGCACTCTTCAGGTGTCATCGAGAAATCAATATCCAAATGTAACAAGAAGAAACCAAACCAAACAGACAGCAAAAGGGTCTATTGATTGAACAAGCTGACCCCCCGATGGATGGTTTCTATTAATCACAGCTGAGAAATGTAGATCCAAACTCCAGTTTTAATTATTAAGTTGTTTTCGAGAGCAAAGCTAAATCTCTGTTAACTGGGATCATGAGGAGTTGACAGAAATAGTCATGGAAAAACACCTCAACCAGAGGCTGGAAGTTTGCTTTCATTTGGTGGCATTAGTCGAATTTGGCAAGTATTTCCAGTAGAGATGGCGTTATTCGTATTTGTATACGAATACAAATACTGCCACCTTACTGGAAATAAAGATTAATGTTTTTTTTTCCTTACAAATATGAATACCCCCGCAAATCTGGACTTAATGAGGTCTGACCCCAGGGGCCAGACCGTCCATTCACACATGCAGCAGCGGTGGCAGCCTCGGTCCGCCTTCCAATTGCTCCTGGAGCGCCACTCTCTTCACGCTCATCTAGCCCCTCGGCAGCCGTGCAGGGAGAGTCGTCCTCCCTCCCCCTGCCTGGAATTGCTCTGGGAAGGCAGACTGAGGCTACCGCAGCCACTGGACACACAAGACAGTCTGGACCCAGGAGCCAGACCATCGTTAAGTCCAGCTGTGTGGGGGGTATTTGTATACGAATGCCTCCATCTTTAAATTCCAATATTCTAGCTCAAAATTCTTTGGTTATGGGAGATGCTTTCCCAAACTGGGGTTCATGGATCGTACATTCCCTCTCCCCTCCCAAAAGAAGCCCTTTGCACACCTTCCTCTCTGTCAATTTCTCTCTCTCTCTCTCTCTCTTGTCCTGAGGGGAAACCCAAAGGGGTGTGTGTGTGTCTTGCATTCCCAGCCGATGGACAGACAGCAGGGTTTACTGGTGGATATTTCCTTCACTATCTTAATGGCCTACACCTCATCCTGACACAACACTTCTGAATACCCACAAGGGCACAAGGATGGGGACTCAAGCTGCAAGACTCGCTGTCAAGTCGGATTTAAGTCATACCATTTCCCCCAATGCCTCGGATTCGATTCATGACTCAGAATCCGCCCACACCTCCCTTTTTACTGAGACAAAAAGCTTGCTTTTAATAGGGACTCCAATTTTGGGCTTGGGACTCGGACTCGGGACCAAAGACTCGGACTTGAGATTCAGACCCAAAGACGTGCTAACATTCCGACATTAGGTCAAGGTGAATGCCATACTTCGATGGAGGCTGTTTGTTTTGTGGACTTAAAAAACAAAACAGAATTGTGTATGTATCACTTGCAGAAAGCTGCAATGGGTGTGGTGCTTTTTTTTTTTTTTGGACCAACCAGAAATGACATTGCTTTCTTTCATTGGTCATACTCAAGTTGCTTCTCTTTGTTTTTAATATTTACTTACTTATTTATTTATTTGATTTATACCCCGCCTATCTGGACCAACGGACCACTCTAGGCGGGATTTCTCCTCAATCCTGTTTGGTTCCAGTTGTAGCTTTTGCCACATACTCATGGTTGACAGCAATGGCATCAATGTGGCAGACCCTTCCTTCCTTCCTTCCTTCCTTCCTTCCTTCCTTCCTTCCTTCCTTCCTTCCTTCCTGAACATTGCACAGTTTAAAATTATGGTCCTATATGAAATACAGATACACTTTCTTTCTTTCTTTCTTTCTTTCTTTCTTTCTTTCTTTCTTCCTTCCTTTCTTCCTTCCTTTCTTCCTTCCTTCCTTCCTTCCTTCCTTCCTTCCTTCCTTCCTTCCTTTTTGCTTCTCTTCTTTTGCTTTCCCTACTGGACCCAATTTGTATCACGGAATATGTCTCCAGATGTAGGATAACAGCCAATTTTCTGCATCTTGATAAAAGGCTTACCTCAGCTTTATCTCACCTCAGCTTTCATGAGGTAACTCAATAATCCTACTGCTTCTGAGGATAGGCAGAATACATATTCTGGCCACCACATTTCCAAAGGCTGTTTATTTGTTATAATTGGCCAGTTTCTCATAGGTTTCTGGGTCAACCAGAAATTGAGGATTTGTTAAGATGCTATTAGGAGTGTGGTCCCTTCTTATAAGAGCAAGTGTGAGGAAGTGATAGCTGTAGTGCAGAACCTCAAAGAGTAAGGCAGCATGCATGTAAAAATGGAATAGAAATGAAGTTATCAAGGTCTGAGCTGGTAGAAATGGACTGCACCAATTCAAATTGTTTAAAGGGGACCACATCTCTGAATTTCCCTTTTGTTATGCTGCTACGTGCTGGCAAATCCCTTCTGACATTTTGAGATCTTGTGAATTAGAAGCCTCTGACAGGTCCTGTCATTAAGCAGCCCTACTTGTGCCTTGGAAACTAAAGGCCATGGCTTCGCTTTTTGGTTCGATCCACTTCCCAGTCTGGCTTTCCTGCTCTTTTCAATTTTTTCAGGATTGCAATTAGAGATGGGTACAAATTTTAAAATAATCACCAAATTTGTTAAAAAATCACTAATTCGTCAATTTCAATTTGTACAAATCAATGCCACCGACAAATACAAATCCATGAATTCTTAACAGTTTTTTTGAAATCTATCGATATGTTTGGCTATAAAATGCCTGCCTGGCACCATTAAAATTGCAGGGAAATTTCCTCTGACACTCCTTCACATTCTCTCCAAGTCTGGTGAAACTTTGGTAAATTTATACACCCACAAAGTGGGTTCCCCCAGGAAAGTGCCCTTTAGCGAGCTGGTTTGGGGAAACCCAATCTTCCTTAACCTTGGAAAGATTGTAGAGGAGAGTCAGTAGAAGCTTCTCGGTGATTTTGGAGCCTCTAGGTGCTTTGGTGGCCATTGTATAGGGTTTTAAAGGAAAAGAAAATCGACAAATCAATTTGTCAGGAAAAAAGTGTAAAACTGTAATTTGTGATTCATTGACTTTGATCCATCATTAACCAAAATGTATCACCTTTTATAGGGTTTTAAAGGCAAAAATGAATCAACAAATTGATTCGTTAATTCATCAGCAAAAATTCATAAATTAGTTATTTGTGATTCATTGACCTTGTTGAATCACAAATTAAAATGAATCACGATTTTTCTTATTTGTGCCCATCTCTAACTGCTATCTCTTGGGGTGAATCTTCTCTTCTCATGATGTGCTCAAAGTATGACAACCCCAGTTCATTGGGTTTTCTTTCTAGAGAGTTCAGGCTCCATTTGTTCAAAAACCAACTTATTTCTCTTCCAGGTAACCCATGATGCGAATAAAACTCTCCTCCATCACCCTATTTTGAATGATCCTTTTTTTCTTGTCAAAGTTGTGCACCACTCATCTTTAACAGCTGTACATTGTGTTAGAGTAGAGTTTGCAAATACTACTACTTCAGTTTGGTCTGATTACCTTCAAATTGATTTGATTAGTATCCAAATATTCTAAAGTATTTGTTCCAAATAGTGAAAAGACAGGAAAATGAGGAAAAGAACAGGATCTAAACCCGGAATGGCAGGTAAAACTTAGTGCTATCAACTACTGCCCGACCCTTAGTGCGCAGGAAAAACTCCCACCAGCTTGCTTCCTTCCTTTATTCTCTCCTTCAATGATTTTGACATCCCAGTTACAACAGGATGCTTTTCACTGAGGACTGAAAGTCCCTAACAGCAGGGACTTCAAAATAGGTGAACCAGTCCTAAACTGATGATTTTGACATCCCAGTTACAACAGGATGCTTTTCACTGAGGACTGAAAGTCCCTAACAGCAGGGTGGCAAGGCAGTTCAAAAAAGGTGAACAAGTCCTAAACTGCAGGAATTTTAGACTACAGAATTATTTGTGTGAGTATGTTTTTCATGGTGCCTTTTGAAGACTGCATTGTTCACAGCACAGTTAAAGCCACATCGTGTGACCTTCAGCATCAGACAGCCGATTCCTGTGTACTGCAGTGGTTAAGGTGTTGGACTATGACTCAGGGGACCTTGGTTCAAATCCCTCACTTCCCCATGAAGTTCACAGGATGATCTTGGGTCAATCCTCAAAGCACATAAGGCTGTTGTGAGGATAAAGCATGGAGCATTTCCCAACATTCCCCTCAGCTCTTTGAAGGGAAGTCAGGATATAAATGTAGCAAGAGTCAATAAACAAATAATAAAAAAAGAAACATGCATTAATGGACCAAGCACTTTCCCAGAATTGAGGAAGGCCACTGGATATTCAGACAGAGAAATTCTCTTTTCTGTTGTTTTGTGTTACTGGTTGTAAACCACCCGGAGTGTCTGGCAAA